TGGAAACCCTGTACATGATCACTATGAATCAGAATGGACTCAACAGCACTTAACAACATATACACATACACACATATATTAAAACACATAAGCTTATGTTTTTCCTTCATTATGTCATCTTCTGTCTAGTCTCACTTTCTCCTTATAACTACAGGCAGTCCTTGGTTATGAATGTATAATCTACATGTAACCCATAGTTACAAACCAACCCCTGTAAAGCCCTATTATATTAAAACAATTGAGGCATAGATAATGGTTTATAATAACAAATGGGAACTGCTTTGTGATGCATATAAAAACATTATTATTATTACTGTACTGTTAAAGATGTTTTACTGTATCTGGAAATTTTTTTTTATAAGTTTTTACTGTAAATTGAGTGATAATTTACATGGAAGAACATCAGTTTTATACTTGATTCACTGCAATGATTACAATATCCTGGAAGTTTTTCTTTAATGTATTTTTATTTTATATATAGAAAGTAATCCTGGTGTGGTGCTGCAGAATTATGCCCATCACTGCTAACTACAAGGTTGGTAGTTGAAACCCACTAACCACTCCTTGGAAACTGGATACAGGGTCACTAGGAGTCAGACTTGATAGCACTTAATAACAACAACAATTTACATTAAAAAGTACAATATATACTAGGATAAATATCTGACAAACTGATTTTGTTAAATAGCATCTAACTCAGCTATAAATTTGACTTAAAGACAGACTTCAAAATGTAACTCATTTGTAATCCAGGGACCACTTGTACAATGTTGTTGTTGCTATTAAGAGCCGTCAAGCTGGTTCTGACTCATAGTGACCTTTTATAGGGTTTCTGAGAAGCAGCTGGTGGGTTTGAACCATTGACCTTGGGGTTTAGTACTTTATCCTACAGTGCCACACCATGACCCCATCTGCAAAATATTACATATGTAATACCACTTTCTTATGTTCTATTTATCAGTTCCTTCTTACATTGCTTGATACACTCATAAATTGTTTCACAAAAACACTTACGAGTTAATATAATCATTAAATCATCAGTAACTAAAAAACACAATGCTAATAATATTTTGTGGTTTTCTTAGCTTAACAATTCTAACTTGTATTTTGCTTTAACAATTTGATACTAAAGAAAAAAGAATTCAAGAGCACACACACACAAAATGATATAAATGTCACTAATATATGGAGTCCTGGTGTGGCATTGTGGGCTAATGCGTCAGACTGCAAAGTCATTTGAACTACAAGGTCAGAGGTTCATGCTCACCAGCCACTCCTTGGAAACCCTATACAAGGTCACTATGGGTTGGAACCGACTCAACGGCAATTAACAACAACAACAATACATGTTCAGGAATCCTGGTGTAGTGTTGTGGGTTAATGTGCTAAACTGCAAAGTTGGCTTGAACTGCAAGGTTGGAAATTCAAGCTTACCAGTTGTTCCTCGGAAACCCTATACAGACAGAGTTGCTATGGGCTGGAACTGACTTGACGGCACTTACCAACTATATTCTAGATTTTGGATTAATATTGGATTGAAATTTTGTCTTATAAAAACAAGAAAGTACATTAAAAATAATTATTTTCTAAAATTTTAAATGAATTAAATGGGAGCATTTCTAAAAGGAGCTTTTTGTTAATTGCATCACTGGTCTCAACAACAGCAAATAAAATTTCAATTACTTCCAAGAAGTGGCTGTCTTAGGTATCTGGTACTGCTTTAACAGAAATGCCACAAGTAGGTGGGGTACGTTGTCTTTAACAAACAGAAATTTATTTCTCAGTTTTTGTTGTTGTTGGTTTAAGTGCCATCGAGTCGGTTCTGACTCATAAGCGGCCTTGTACAGGATTTCTGGTTGGTTTGAACTGATCTTGTGGTTTGTAGTCCAGTGCTGAACCTACAGCACCACACCAGAAGCTAGAAATCCAGATTTAGGGTGCTGGCTCTGCTCTGTTGATTCTGGAGGAAGGTCCCTATCTCTTCTGAGCAGAAGCTCCAGGGGAATCTTGTTGGGAGGTGGGGCTCCCTTCTTCTATCTCGGCTTCTCTCTCACTTGCTTGTCTAATCTTCTTTATATCTCAATAGAGACTGACTCCACCGGAATCCAGTCTCACTAACATAACAAAGACAACCCACTTCCACTTCCAAATGAGATTATAACCAAACTAGTTCACAGTGACCCTGTAGAGGGTTTCCAACAAGTGGCTCCTGAGTCTGAACCGACCTTGTGGTTCAGTGCTTATCCTACATACAGTACCACATACACAAGCATACAGACTAGAATTTACAATATATATTCTGGGAGGACAAAATTCAATCCATAATATTCCATACTTTGACCCTCTAAAATTTATGTCCTTGCCACATGCAAAACACATTCACCCCTTCACATCATCCCCAAAGCCTTATATCAAGTCCAAAATCTCTCCTTCAGAATCAAGTATGAGGAAACTCAAAGCAGATTTCATCCTGGGGTAAAGTTCCTCCTCCTTCATCTGTCAACTTGGGAAACACAATGGTAGCACAGGCACAAGATAGATTTTCCCAGTACAAATGGGAGAAATTGGCGGGATAACAAGCATGGTGTGGTGCTGTATGGTAAGCACTGGACTGTTAACTGCAAGGTCAGTGGTTCAAACCCACTAGCCCCTCCTTAAAACTCCTCTAACAGGGTCACTGTGAGTTGGGACTGACTTGATGGCACTTTAACCATCACAGCAGCAATAACAGGCATGAACCAAGTCCCAAATCCAGCAGAATAAATTTCATTAACAATCCTCTCTTCTCCAAGAGCATCTGGGCAATGACCCCGTCCTTCCAGTGGGTGGGCATTAGCTGTGCCCTCTGGGCTCTGGGTGGGGGCCACTCAGCCATGGGCTTCAGTTCTGCCTCCCAGTACCTCTGAGACTGTAACTTTGCTCCCATTCTTCCACTGTCCAATCACATGCTCATCCTTTTTTTTTTAAAAGCCTTACATGGAGACTTTCTCTGCAACGCTCTTCATGCTCTCTGAACCCTCACCAAGAATCACATAATTCTATCAACAGTCTTCAAGGCAATCTAGGTTTCTACCATTAGGCATCTTAAAACGTTTCCAATTGCTACCAATTACCTAATTCTAAAACTGCTTCCACATTTCAGGCATTTGTTAGAGCTTCATTCTACTCTTCTAGTATCAAATTATAATTTATCTAGGGGCCTTGGTGTAGCACTGTAGGATAAAGCACTAGAACGCAAGGTTGGTAGTCCAAGCCTACCAGCCGCTACTTGGAAACCCTACTCAGGGTCTCTATGAGTTGGAATTGACTTGATGGTACTTAACAACAACAACAACAAAGTATGGTGCTGTAGCGTAACCACTGGCCTGCTAACTAAAATACAAGCAGTTCAAACCCACCAGCTACTTCTCAGAAACCCTACACAGAGGCTCTATGTGTCGGAACTGACTTGAGATGGCACTTAACAATCAGTAACAGATTTGTTATAACAAAATAAGCAAAAATGGGTGGCTTTAACAAATAGAAATGCATTTTCTCACAGTTTTAAGAAACTACAAGTTTGAATTCAGTGGCTATGATTAAAATGAGCATTTAGAAAAAATCTTTAAATATACCTCATCACAATTCTTCCAAAATACATTAACCATTATAAATAAAGAACAGCCAGATCCTGCATTTCCATGAAACATACCTGATCTTCACAGCCGTCAATTTTTACCGGAGTAAACTGGTCCAAGTTATACTGTGCAAATGCACTAAAAAATGTAAAAAGGTTAATTACTTATAATTGCACATTTAACATTTTCAAAATGACATTCATACAATTCCCCTGCCAATAAAACTATCCTACATTGCACATGACAAGCTAAGTAAAACTATAATTCTCCATTATTGATCTTATATTAGCTATAAATATATGGATATGACTATCTTAAAACTGATGGATGCTTACCACGAAAAAATTAAATCAGTAAATATAATTGGTCTTTTTATTCAAGACCCAGAGAGTAAAGGTTAGCTATCTACAATGCGCACACACACACACACACACACACACACACAGTTTAAAAAGTTACTGGGAAAATGGAATTGAAAAATAATGGGATTTTTTCTTCTATTAACTTTTTGAAGTCCCTGATATAATAACGTATTCAAGATATATTTAGTATGCAACTTCATCAGGAAAAGGCTAAGACTCTGTAATAGATACCAGGCAGACTGAGCAGAAAAGATAGTGGATATATATTAACCATAACACAGAACAGAAAGTTTACATGAGAATTACAAATAAAGCACCATGAAGAATATAAAAAAAGAGAAAGAAAGAAAAACTCTATTCTGTTTTGGCAAAGGTAAGAAGAGAAAAAAAAAAAAGTAAGTTCATAATAGCATTCTGAGACATGGCATTGAAAAACTAGTCTTACAGAAAGAGGAGGGAGGGAAAGAAAGGGTATTTCAATTAGAAGGAACTGTATGAGCTAAAAAGCATATAGAAAAATAAATAATACTTTTATTATTGGCCAGAAATAGTGAAGAAAACATTTGGGAAACTCAGATGGAAATACAAGCTAGGCCTAACCATCACAGCAAACAAGTCCAATGTCTGGTATATATCAGGTGTTTAGTTAGGTTTCAATTAAATTAAAAGGCCTTAAACGATGACGTAATCATTATTTTACTCAGGAAGTAAAGCAGGGCCAACAGAAGTTTTTGAGAAAGGACAAATCCTGATTAATTTGGCCACCGTAGTTAAGTGCTCAGTTGCTAACTGACAGGTTGATGGTTGGGCTCTCTCAGTGGTTCCAGGAGAGAAAGATCTAGTAATCTGCTTCCATAAAAATTACCACCTAGAAAACCGAATGAGGCACTTCTATGTCACATGGGGCTGCTGTGAGTTGGAAACTGACTTGATCACACCCAACAACAAAAGTTTGGGTCAGGAATTGGGCAGTGGATTAGCCAGAGTCAAGAAAAAGAGGTAGGTCATTCCTAGGAGTATGAATTAGGAAAAGATGACAAAATGGATTACAAAATAGTGAGATGCAGCTGATATTAGCCATATTTGGCCCGATGGATTTAAAGTCTCATACATAAAGCAAGTGAACAAAAATAAAGCCTCTCTGCACTCTTAGAAGAGCAAAGTTACAGAGCCTTGAAAGCTAATGTAACTTAACAGGGATCACATAGTACATTTGTAGGAAAATCTCTCCTGATACATAAAAATTATAAAAACAATACTTTGTCAAGTCTATATACTAGGAAATGCTTTTTACTTAACATAAATGATATGGGGGGGAAATTAGGAACACATCTATAAGCTTTATCTATTTGGATTTTTTCCCCCCAAAAAACAGAATTAATAGAAGATGCCCAGTGAATCTTCAGGTACTTAATTAACTACTAACTCATTCCTAAAAAGAAATGTTTGCCTAAGCAAAACACTACTGATGAGTTAACAGGACTTGTAAAGAGTCCTGATGTAGTACGGTAGGATAAGCACTGGACCCAAAGGTTGTTTGAACTGCAAGGTCAGCAGTTCAAATTCACTTCAGAAACCCTGTAACAGGGTCGCTAAGAGACGGAACCAGCTTGACAGCACTTAGTAATATTAACAACAGTAAATGCACAGAGTTCTGGTGCTGTGCCATAGGGTAGCACTGGACTGCTAACGGCAAAGTCAATGGTTCAAACTCACCACCCGCTTCTCGGAAACCTTATAAAGGATCCCTATGAGTCGATTTCTGTATAAGGTTTCTGAGAAGTGGCTGGTGGATGTGAACCATCAACTTTGCAGCAGTTAGCAGTCCAGTGCTTATCCTACAGCATCACACCAATACTCCCGAAATAAATTACTGGTTGTCATATTCCTGGCACTGCATTCTCAAAAAAGATGGCAGTGAATACAGAAGTACATGAGGGGGAGACAGAAAGAAGTAGCTGTTCACTCTTGATTTTATTTACTAAAAGTATCATTTTTTTCTAGGAATAGCTTTAACAAGTCAGGCAGTGACTAACCCTTAAGTGAGCTTTATCACAAAAGCATGCTTATAAACAAAATTAGTTATAATTTAGTATTCATTTTCCTGTAAAGTCAATATTTAAATGGTAAAAGTAATTACCAATGGTAAAGACCAAATAGTAATTTGGTCTCAGGCTGGACCCAAAGCCTTGAGCCTTGATAATCACTAATCTAGGAGAGCCAGACTATCTGGATTTTGTTTCAAACCTGTTATTAGTTACTTTGGGCCCCACTTACCTCATCCACAAAAAGAGGGGTTTGGACTAGATGATTTCCAAAGCCCCTAGCAGTTTAGAAAAATCACTCCATCTACCTACTCATCATCCACTCTCATTCTTCTAATCAGCCATACCAACATTTACTGAGCTCTTATTACTACATGCCAAACACTGCTAAATAGAGCGCAAACAATGTTTTCCCTTCCCTTGTGGAGCTCTGTGGCTCAGTCATCCAATTCTAAGAGATCTGGTATCTATACTGAGATTTACACACCACTTATTATTAGACATTCACCAAACCATCTCTTATACATCATGCTTTTCCCACACTCTAGCTTCACCATTTTCCTTACTCAAGTACTTACTATTGCAATCCTATTTCCGCATTAGTCAGAATTTACATACTGGGTTGTATATACACTGGGAGGAAAAAAGTTGGATGGCTGGATATTAGACTCCCTGTAAGGACCTAAAAATCTGTTGAAATAACTAATAAATAGCTTAAAATGTGGGTCTGCATATTTTAGGGAGGTAGGGAAAGAGTCAATTCAAGTCTCTCCTGCTATCTAAAAGCAGAGTGTTATTATGAAATCTTCCTTAAACAGTATAAAGTTAAAAAACAATTACCATTAAAGTGTATGGGGAAAATTTTTGAACATTTCCACACTCAAAAAATAACTGACACCAAATCATACCAAAAAAACACACTAACATACACTGTTCAGACATAATTCAAAGCTATGGTAGCTCCATGCTGAGTGTAGTTCTAGGGGGGAAGGAGCTTGGGAACTTTGTGCTCGCCGCTACGGGTGAGTGCAGCTTCTTAAAAGGCTCACTGCAAAACAAACACTGACTAGTAGTTTCACCTTTATTCCATAAAAGCAAAAGTCCTCCTCTTTCAGTACGTGAAAAAAGTATTAATGTAGGTCTTTTGCTCCAGTGAAGTAGTACAAGGAGAACTTTTGAAAAATGGAGAATGCCTGTATTTTATGTCACTGAAATCCTATGAGAGCTGTGGAAGTCCAACTTATGGTCAATGATTCAAAGAAAATGCAACAGGTTTACAATCGTCTACAGATGAGGCATATTCTGTTTCTGTAAAGACTTATAATCTCAAAAACCCTGTATTGGGCTGTTATGAGTTTGAACTGACTCAATGACAATAGTTTTGTTTTTTGTTTAGTTTCTGAATCAAAGGGACCTGGTGGCTCCATGTTTAAGGATGTGGCTGCTAACCAGCAGTCATAGGTCTGTGGTTCAAATCCATCAGCTGTTCAGTGGGAGAAAGATGGTGTCCTTTCTGAAAGATTCACAGCCTTGGAAACCCTACAGGACAGATCTATACTGTTCCATAGGGTAATCATAGGTCACATATTTTCAATGGCAATGGGTTTCTTTTATTCACTCACAAATTCACAGGATGCTTAAAATAAGCACCATGTGTGAGACACTGTGTTTGGTATTCAAGAAAAAACACATTTCTAATCTTCAAAGATCCAACAACCTATTAGGGGTAAACATATAACAAAAGGGAACTACATTAAAATTAAAACAACAATTTTTAAAAAATCAAAGCTTTAAAAATGATTTTATCCAACATTGCAAATGTGGAAAAAAATTTTTGTTTTAGCCACTGCAAACACACACTCACACGTACACACACACACACACACACACACACACACACACACACACGAGACTCTCTTGTGATAGATATATCTCCATATACCCATTACCAAAAATATGGTACTCGACTTATATAACGATACAATTTGAACTTGATGTGCAAATATCTATTTACAGGATCAGTGCTCAAAAATCACTTTGTAAACCTTTCCCCCGCCATGTTAATGTTATATATAGTACTTACTGGGCTGCTCCTTCCCTGAGAAGATTATCATTGTTAAGCAGTAATCGAACATCTGTAACAACAACAAGAGCTATGATGTTTCCCACATTATTTTTCTATGTTTGAAGAACAAAATAAAAGCTGGTTATTTGGATCATATACCTACCTCCCCCAAATGCAAGGGAGATCAAAATATCAGTTTGATGATCCAAATAACCTGAACACACACATACCATTGTATTAAAACAAAAACAGACTTTGGTAATTCATAGATGCTATTTCATTCTCTTCATAGATGTGGCCGACAGCAGTGCTTCTCCAGAGAATTAAAGTGGAGATAAGCCACACCCGAGGGTGGTGTGATCAGATCTGCAGAAAAGACTCGCAATATATGTTAATGCCATCAGCAAGTTCAAATGAACGCGCTCTATAGAAAAATGATCAAACAAGAAACAACTTGTGAACAGAGTCTAGAAGATGATATTTCTGTCTTTAGGAAGATCATGTTCAAATGAAGTTATTTATTCAGTTTGATCATGAGTAATTCAACTTTATTTGATTTGATGATCTTACTTTGACTGTTGATTCTTCTGTTCTGATTTCGGATTCAATTATTATGCAGCTATTTCACTATTACAACATGAAACTAAAGAGAACGCATTTTGCTAGAAAATCAAAGCACTTTATAAAGTTATCAAGGAAAAAAAATCACCCATAATTTCACCAAACAAAATTCTATCCTAATCTTGGGGTATTTCTTTTACTTTACATAACTGTTTTTATTTCATGGCTTTATAGTATTGTTGTTAAGTGTCATCAAGTTGGTTCTCACAGTGACGCAGTATAAGGATTCTAAGGAGTAGCTCCTTAGAAACTCTATACAAGGTCGCTGAGTCAGAACCAACTCGACGGCACTTAACACAGATTGTGAGCTGTAGAGTCAATTTCAGTTCAACAGTGGTCCTGTATGACAGGGTAGAACCTGCCCCACAAGGTTTTCCAGGCTGCATGCTCTATGGGAGCAGATTGTCAGGTTTTTTCTCCCACAGAGCTATCTGCTGGTGGGTTCAAACTGATGACCTTTCAGTTAGTAGTCAAGCGTTTAACCCCTGTACCACCACCAGTCCTTTAACTTATCCTTACAACTACTTTTGTAAAAAGATCATTACAGGCATAACTCATTGTACTGTACTTCACTTTAGTACGCTTAATGGGTAAATTGTTGTTGTTGTTAAGTGCTGTTCCGACCCATAGTGCCCCTGTATAGGGTTTCCAAGGAGCAGCTGGTGAGCTTGAATGACTGACCTTGCAGTTCAAACGACTTTGCAGTCTGACGCATTAGCCCACAGTGCCACACCAGCTGTTTCGCGGGAGAAAGAAGAGGCTTTCTGCTCCCGTAAAGATTTACAACCTCGGAAACTCTGTACAGGGTCGCTATGAGTCGGAACCGACTCTACGGCACATAACAACAACAACATATATATGTGTGTGTGTGTGTGTGTATACACACACACACACACACACACACACACACACACACACACACACACACATAATATTTTCAAATTGAAGTCCACGGCACACTTTTGTCAATCAAGTCTACTGGCACCATTTTCCCAAGAGAATATGTTCATTCTGGGTCTCTGTGTCACATTTTGGTGATTTTCACAGTATTTCAAACTTGTTCATAATGCTAACATACTTAATAGATTTTTGTACAGTGTAAAAAGAACTTTTATAAGTACTGGGAAACTAAAACATTCAAGTGACTATTGTGGATATTTGCGGGGGTCTCAAATAAAATTTGAAATATCTCCCAGGTATGCCTCTACAGGCCATTTTTCTTGGCAACTGTTTCAACTATAACATTCTTACTGCCAAAGAGAATTTACTGTTACAGATTTTACAGCAACCAGAACACTATATTGAAATGCCTGGTCTATGAGTGACTAAGGGGCCCTGGTGGCACAGTAAGCAGAGCACTTGACTGCTAACCAAAAAAATCAGCAGTTAAAACCCATCAGCTGCTCTGTAGGAAAAAAATGTGGCAATTTGTTTCTGTAAGATTTAAAGCCTTAGAAACGCTATGGGGCAGTTCTATCCTATCTTATAGGGTCTCTAAGAGTGGGCTTGGTGTTTTGGAAGCACCGGACTGGTAATCACAAGGTTGTCAGTTCAAACCACCAGTTGCTCCTCAGAAACCCTATAAAAGGTCACTATGACTCAGAAGCACACAGTAATTATAAAACTCATTGCCAATGAAGTTTAAAACATGGATGATGTGAACTGATTTACTATATATAATTTAAATAGCAAGTTTTTAAATTTGCTTTCAACTTTAAGCATGGTGAAGCACTGTTTCTTCCCCATTTGTA